CCTGGAGAGCTGTTGCCAGTCATGGCCAACAGAGCTGGCGAGAAGGACCAGTGGTCTGATTCGGTATAAGGCAGCTCCTATGCTCCTAATGCTCTGTGTGAACTGAGTGTGCATCCTAGAACACTTCTGGGAATTATTTGCACCATACAGGGGTTCTGTAGCAAGGTTAGGGTAGAATTTTATGGCAGACACTAGCACAGGAATGTGCTCCAAAATATAGGAAACCAGCATATTATAGCAAATGGTGCTACATTCACAGTAGTTCAGCATGCCCAACCTGGTGCCTTCCAGATGTGTTAGACTATATAACTTTATTCCTAGCCATACTGGCTAGGAAAGATGGGAGCTGGGCTCCAACATGGCTGGAGAACACCAACTTGAGGAAGGCTGATCCATTCAACTGATGTGTGACTGGTGCATTTTCTCCCTCTGTGACCTTCCCATGGTTCTGCTGCTTCTCTCAGCCTGGCCCGGGAGGTGTCAAGCTCATAGCTCTCCATCGCTCTCTGCCCCAAAGGATTCGCAGCTGAAGGAGCTGCATCCCACCTAGGGAGGTGGAAGTACCGTAGCCTAGTTTGCTGCTGAGCGACGGCTCCTTCAGAGATGCACCAAGTGTGCCTGGCCCAGGACTGCCCTTGTTTGCTAACGGGGGCAGCAATCCAAACATCACTTTCTTTGAACAAAGACTGAGGGTTTGTCTCCATGGCAGCAGGCCAAAGAAGGAACAGTGGGTGTCATTCCCTGTACAAAGCGCTCACTGATCCCCCACCAGCACCCTTGCATTGCAACCCATCCCCTAGCAACCATCCCCCCCTCTGTGCGGCATTGACGGCTCCTGAGGGTGCAATCCAAAGAGTGCAGAGAACGAGGCACTTTAACATGTCTGCACAAGCAGAGCTGGGAGACTCTTCTAGCAGAGCAGTGCAGGAGGGTACAGCTGAATGCAGAGTCTTGCAGGCCAAACTACTGGTCCTCAAAGGGTGTTAGTTTTTGGTCACACCAATTGCCCCTGGAGGGAGGGAAGGAGGGAGAGAAATGCTGCTTGGTCCATGGAATGGTATTTGTGGCTCACTATCTAGAATCAGCCACAATGAAAATAGGAACTGCAAAGATGCCTCTTAGAAGCCACAGGCTACTGGTCTGTCTCATCCAATACTTCCTCCAAGTGGTGGTAGCAAACTGGGGCAGGGATGGTCAGAAGGTAGAGTGGGTCCTACTGCCAGTTTGCAGTGGATTACCAAGAGTTCTTGATTCCCATCTTTTTAACAATAGCGAAAGGACTTTCCTTCCTTTTCTGAATTGGGCCACTAAACTGGAAGAAAGCTTGTGATGAAAATAAAATGTATGTGTGACAGGACTGTGAGCTCGGTTCTAGTACTGAAAACAGATTCCTGGGCTGGGCATATGCTCAGCTGGGCATATCTTATTCTTTAATTTGAAGAACGTGTTTCAAGCCATTGTTTTGCATTTGGCTGAAGCTGGTGGACCTCAGATTTAGAATAAGAAACAAAATTGACATGCACACCTGAATTTTGCTTGTCTCTACTCTACTGTGCCCAGGAGAAGAGGAGAACCATGGAGGAGAACCCTGCAAGCCACCTTGGGCTCCTTGTAAGAGGAAGAAAGGTGGGATATAAATGCAATAATAATAAAAGCAGCGTGCTACCTGGCATCCTTTAATTGGCAACTCTTACAGATACAAAACATCCTTTACCACTGGACTATAATGCACCTATCCAAACCTTATCTGAGCAAGTCAAGCACGTGTTCTTTCCTTTGCCTTAACCTTCACTGGATTTTCCTCTTTGAGAAAATAATCTTAAACCTGAAAGCATTCTAGAATTTTCTGCCTCAGTGAGTGGATCTATTAAGAGAAGCTTACAAAAAATGAGCCTTTGCACCATCCAACCCACTAACCCTCGCCTTCCAAGGAGGCCAAGTTGATAGATAAACACTTGGTTCTTTTGGTTGTCTTGTGGATTTGAAGCATGCAGGTCACACACAGGTTATCCTCCCAAGTTATTATCTGCAAGAGTGAAGAAGCACAATGATTGTCATGACTGCAGAAGCTTTTGCGTGATTCTGGTGTGATGAGAGGCATGGGGTGAGGAGAGATCACACCAGGCTGGTGAACTTCTCCTGCCTCGGGGGATGAATGTGCATTTGTGAAGAGAAAGTGTTTGCTCAACAGCCCTGCAGAGCTTGACTCCTGGGGGGTCCTGCTGTGTTCCCAGTGACCTATCAGAAGTCCCCATTTCAACTGATGGAAATGGCCACGTGTTTTTACTTGCACGTAGCTGCCAAGGATTAACATGAGCAGTAAGAGATGTTCCAGCATGGACTCAGGAGTGTCTACTGTTAGTTATTATTAGCTAAATCTAGATTGTTCCTGCATGAATTTATCCAATACCTTCTATTTCTAAAGGATGTGGGTTGCGTGAGAGGTGGGAGGAAGTGTGCCTCATATACCCCAAGGATGAGAACATCGGACCTGGGAGCCAGATCAGCCTTCCTGGTACTCTTGTCCAGGACTCCTTCCTTGACTGCACCCCCCTTTCCCCTCAGCACCAGTTGTCACATGTTTCCCTGGTCTTCCCTCTCCCCCATCCAGAAATGCCTGCATGAAGACTTAGCTTCTGGAAGTAAAACTATTAAACTAAAATGTCCTGGTATTTTTTGCCTTGCTCCCCTCCTGCACTGGAATGCAGTTCCCCCATGACCATCTCTGAAAATGAATTTGGTCATCTGGCTGAAAGGGATTTCTCACGTCTGATATACCCTGTGGAGACATAGGAGCCCTTCATGGATGCACTTAACTGCACATCCCAAAGATGCCTCCATGTCCTGCCAAGTTCTACAGGACTCCATTTGGAGAACTGCCTGCCAAAATAGATCTTTAGTCCACAGGAGGGACCTTAAAGTGTTGTTTGCTCAATGTGGGCCTCAATGGAGGCATAAAAATAGAATGAAGGAGATCCCAAACCCTACAGAAACGAGATTCCCTGATCCAAGGTCTGAACAGATGCTTCCTATCTGAGTTCTCATCCTCTGTGGCTGGGTTCTGTACTGGTTTTGTGAACCAGTGCATTCAGTTTTCAGGGGGAATTCAGTGTTTCCTCCTCTCTACAGCCACAGGTGCTGCTTGAACTCAAACCAAAAACAAGGAAGGGCATCTCCAGCACTGGCAGAAGAATCTTGACTCTGCCTCTGTGTGTGTTCATGCAAAATGTTTCCTGCCTTTTGGCTGACATTCTGGAATCCATGCAAAACCAAAAACACAAAATCCCTGATGACAACTTACAAGGTGGAAGGGACCTTTTTATATGAAAGAAGTACATTCATAGAAGCTTATAAACACGTATAAACAAATAAGGAGCAATTGACTTTCAACTTGGAAGCAGATTTTTTTTTTTCGGTATCAGCTTTCATAGTGTGTTATATATTAAACAGTGTGGTCAGGATTGCTCTGAAGGACAGCTACTCCTCAATGAAAAGGTAATACACCATTTCTTATGAAGTGGATATGATATGATGTATATACATTGGAACTGATTGATACGTGTGGTATGCATTGGAGATATGCATACGAAATAGATACTTGCCCTTTTTGTGCCCATTATCATTTCTTATTTGTTTATATGCAGGGTAGAATACACAGGGGCATGGACACCTCTGCTAACTCTCTTGTGCCCGACTGATTCTGTCGCATGAGTGGGACCTACAATTTGCCCAAGATTCAACATTTTCCAAAGGAAGCCCTGAAGCAAATTGAAACACTTGTTTCTCAGTTGGGACAACCACTGGAGCTCCCTCGTGCAAACTCTGCCAACTAGACCCATTCCAGAAATGAGCATTTTCATGTGCTTCTGAATGCTCTGGAATTGCTAAATCTCCTTCCACAAGCAGTAGGTTGTGCTTGAGTTCGTGAACTGGGCATAAGGAAATCAGGAGAGGCCCTCTTAGATTCTGCCCCTAATGCATATATTTCTACCAATTTCCTTCTTTTATATAATATCAACTACAGTTCCCTCATACCGTGTGTATTGTTGAATCCATGGCAGTTCAATACTATCAGTACTGGATGAACATGCAAATAATGTTACTGACTTCCAGAAGGAAGGGTAGCTTAGCCTTTCAACATCCTTATGCTGGGATTAAAAGACTCAAACTCTGTAAACATCAGGATTTCTAGGTACCCTGGACTTTCTCAACCTGTTCCACTGCAAGGGGGACTGTTAGCAAGGAGAGGTGCTATCACTGTTCGGCTCCAGAATAGATGTGACAGGAAACATGCTACTTTCTGTGTGAATCATTTTTTTAAATGTCAATACTAGCTGCTACAATTGAGATTGGGAGCATGGGGAGCAAAGAGAGGGCTTTACCCAGCTTTTTCTGATTTGGTACCTTTCCAGATGTGTTGGACTGGAAAACCCTCCATTCTTGATCACTGGTTATGCAAGTTGGGGATGACAGAAATTGTAGTCCAACACATCTGGAGGGCACCAGTTTGGAGGTGAAGTGATGTCATTCTCTTAAATTGTGATTCAGGAAAGCGTGCGTGTGTGCGCGCGCGCACACACACACACACACCCGTCAACAGATCTGGAAGAGACTTTCCCATTGATGAAAGTTTGCTTATCTTCATCAAAGATCATTGGGTGGTACTCACCTGTACTTTTGGATACATTAAAATTTACAAACCTTTCTAATGTTTCTTTTGTCACAGTTAATGAAGTAGACAATAAACCTTCTGGGAAAACCAGAATTCCCTTGGATGGAAGAGAGATCTAGTATATAGGGCCCAAGTGAGTAGATTGACTTTGGGCTCCTAGCAAACGTTTACACAACTAGCTGCTCTACAACACATTAAAACAAACGCTGTCATAGGAAACATTTTTTACTATCTAGTGTATTGGTTTATTGAGGCTAGGATAGTGCTTATCTTGAATATGAGTCTGTCTCAGGCTGACGTGGAAAGTGGGACTGTAAGGTCCTGCATGAGTGCAGAATGGGTTAATTTGTACTATGTCCTCTCTAAGATACTGCAATAAGTCAGTCCTTGAGGGAGCTGCAAGTGGAAATTTTCTCAGCATTTCCCTAATTCAGGGCAGCAGCAGCCTCTCTGGTCCTCCCTGGGATCTGGGGGATTCTGGAGATGTCCACACCCTTGGTAACGTTCAGCAGGAAAGACAAAAAAGGATGTGAGGTCACTCTCCCTGGAACTGCTATTGGAAGGAACAAGCACATGGAGGGACACATGTTCCATCTCCACCGTCAGGCACTTCACCAATCAATACTAAAGAGGGAGAGAGAGAGTAGAAAAACCTTTTGGTCTTGGGAGAAGACGGAGGAAGAATGCTAATGCTCATGCCGGGCTGACTGAGCTCTGCTTAGCATGGGGTGCCGATGGCTCCCACGGGGGTAGGAGACTCCCGAGGCTTGTCAAAGAATATGGAAGAGGACATCTCTGTTTTCAGCTTGCCCTCAGAGCTGCCTTCGCTGGAGGCAGCTTCCTGGCCACACTCCTCGCAGCAGCAGCAGCAGCAGTCCATGAAGGCCTGACCCAGTGGCTTGCAGAGGCAGAGCAGCAGCACCGGAGTCACTGAGCACTTGAAGAACAAGAAGAACTGGTTGACGAGGCTCAGCAGGTCCAGGGTCTGCTTCGTCATGTCCAGAGACAGGTAAGCCACAATGATGTTGCTGACATTCTCTGGGATTGTGCACAGGGCATAGATCACCGTCAGGCCGACGACGGTGCAGTTGAGTTGGCTCTCGCACTGCCCATGCTTGCTGCCGCGACACTCCGACTTGCTGGGGCTACTGATCCTCCTGGTGACCAGCTGACAACTGACCGTGAAGAGGATGGGCAGGCAAAAGTAGCATCCAAAGTACCACCACATCCTGGCATTCTGGTAAGTGAGGACCAGAGAGTAAATGGACTCCGGCAGCTCCTGGGAAGGCTTCATCGTGCAGTAGTCAGTCACCACGCCGGAGACGGGGGAGGTGTCCTGTGCCAGCTGCCAGAGCAGGATTTCTGGGATAGAAAGGGTCATCGAGCCCACCCAAATGACAGCCAGTTTTGCAATGATGGAGTGGCAGTGCTCGATGGGCCGAAGCTTGGCTTGAGGGCTGGTGGCTGCATGGAAGCGGTCAATGCCCAAGGCGCAGAGGCTGAAGGTGGTTACGCCCAAGGAGGACACCTGGAATCACAGTGAGCACAAGAAAAGAGGGTTGTCCTGTGAACTTATGAAGTAGGGAAGTTTTAAAGCAAGAGGAACATGTAATGGTACAAAGTTGGATCACAAACCAGTTTTTCTAATTTCTGGAGTGTCCTCTCAGAAGAGGAAACTCCTCCATCACCATAAAAGAATTGACAAAGATTCCATATTATGCCATAAGAACACAAAAAGAATCATGCTAGATCCTCCTGTCCAGTCTTCTTTCCAACCAACTAGCCACCTGTGAGAAAACCGGCAAATAAGGTATGAGTAAAACAGCACCTTCCTGGCCATCTTCTCAAAGAACAGGTGTATATAGGAATGCTGCCTATGATAATGAAGGCCACATATAGACATTAGGACTAGTAGTCACTGACAACCATAATGTTCATGAATTTGTCCTGTCTTTTAAGGTTATCCAAATAGGTGGCCATTACTGCATCTTATAGAAGTGAATTCCATAATGCAAGTACTTACTTTTTATCTGTCCCAAATCTTCCACAAATCAGCTTCAGGGTTCTAGTATTATGGGAGGAGAAGAAAATCTCTCCATCTCTACTTTCTCTACACCATGCATAATTCTGTACATCTCTATCCTTATTTATCCTTTTTTCTTAGATAGCCAATCTCAGCTGTGCTCTAATCACTTGCTCGTTTTAGTTGCCCCTTTTCCAACTCCTGCAATTCTACAATATCCATTTTTAGATGAGACAACCAGAACCATGCTTAACATTCCAAATGTAGTCACATAACACATTTTATAAGGACAGAATGGAAGTTCTTTTTTTAATTTCTTTTCTAATTATACCTAAGTTGAAATTTGCCTTTTCCCCACAGCATACTGGGTTGACATTTTCATTGAACTATCCACCACAAACTCAAGATCTCTTACTTTGGGATTTTTTCTCCTTGTTTGCCCCAATGTACAACACTTTACGCTTGCTTACGGTGAACCACATTTGCCATTTTGATGTCCATTCTCCCAGTTTGGATAGGTCCTTTTGGAACTCTTCATAGTCCTTTTTGCCTAACCATCCTAAATAATTTGGTGTCATCAACTAACTTGGCCATGTCCCCACTCACTCCTAATTCCAGATCATAAGGATTCCTGTAGATTCTTATTGTGATCCTTATTATTACATATATCCATTGGGAGAATTTTCCATTTATTCTTGCACTTTGCTTTTTGTCCATTATCTAGTTAGTCTTCCGTAAGAACAACTCTCCTGTTGCTCCATGACTGCTAAGTTTGCTCAGGAGTCTTTGGTGAGGGACTTTGTCAAAAGTCCCTTGGAAGTCCAAGTAAACAATATCTACCAGAATGTTTATTGACACTTTCAACGAACTCTAAATATTGATAAGACATACCTTACCTTTTCAGAAGCCATATCATTTTTTTTCTAGAAAGGTGGATCCTTCTATATGCTTACTTTTTATCTTTAATAATGCTTTCCAACAATTTGGAGCAGACACTAAGCTAACAAGCCTGTATTTTTCCAGATCTCATCAGTGTCCGCTTTTCAACATTGGTGCTATGTTGACCATTCTCGAGTCATTTGGGAGGGAGGCTTAAGATCAACCGCGTCACATTTGAGTTCTTTCAGAACTGTAGGATGGATACCATCTAGGACCAGCAATTTGTTTGCTTCCAATTGGTTACTGCAAGTGAGAACTTGTCATTTCTAGTTCCTTAGAATCCCTTCGTGAAAACATCAGCTCAGGTGTCAGTATTTGCCCTACATCTTCTACAGTGAAGACAGGAGAAAATAATTAATTCAGCTTCTCCACAATCTGTTCATCATCCTTCAGTACTCAGCTGCCTTGTCATCCAACCATCTAATTGCCTCCCCAGCTGGTTTCCTGCTTCTGATATTTTTAAAGAATATATTGATTTTGTTAATGCAATTAGTAATATGCTCATTCAAATACTTCTATTCTGTCCTTACTGTTAAATTGGTTTCATGTAGCCAAGGCTTCTTTCTTGACTGGCTTCCTTAACGCTGCTACTTAAGCATGTTAGTAACCTCTTGGTGCTACCCTACCCTTCCTGATCTGCAGCAAGCATCATCTTCTGTTATTGCAGTTTTGAGTAACCTACAAGCATATTTAAGGAAACGCAGCATGAAACCAGGAAAGGTTACTCCTAAGAGCTTTCTTAGATGCTTTCATGAGCATTGCAGTTGATTGTGGCTATGTATGTAGAATCTGATTATGTTGTCTGCAAAACACATTTTAGAAAATATTTATCCAGTGCAGGCCTTGCAGATTATGGGAAGTCTATGTTTGTAAGGTAGACACTAGTAAAGAAATTTGGTTGGCTTTCTTAGATTATGTTAACTTAATCAATTACTTCAGTCTCTTCTATATGTTCATATTGGTGTGTGTGCCCTTATTGTTGTTGGTTTTTGTGTTGTAAACCCTGGCCGTGTTTGCTTCTGGTTTAATTTTAAACCTGATTGGGAGGGAAAGAGGCGAACACAGTGGGAAGTACTAAATTTAAACCGAACATTTGTAGCTTGGCTTCAGACTGACTCTTCTGGTACCCCCACCACCTCCATTTATGTGCCATCTCTCAGGAAACCAGGCTCAGGCATGGGCTACACAGACAACAGAACATGCTGGTAGAAAGGGCTGCATCACTTTGGATTACAGGAGGAGCGATTACAACTTCAAATGTTCTCCTGCTTAATATCATCTTGCAAACAGAAAGCTAGCAAGGCAGGCAAAGGATGAGGAGAGAACCTTTCTCCCTGATACACTACTTTTTTATTCACGGGGCACGTATCATAGGACTACGTGATATTCAAACCTGGTATTCTCCACCTGTGGCTTGAAGCAGGACCACCTCAGGAGCCCTTTCGCGTCATTTTGCTGCATGTAGGCTAGGCCTCATTAATCTATACTTTCCTATTTACCAAAGGCCACCCCGTGGTACAGCACAGAACCTCAAGCCATGGACAAGTTCAGCATTCGTAAGATTTGGCCCTTAAAGCCTCTCCAAACGATCCCTGTCTTCTGATTCTTCCTACCAAAATTCATCTGGCCAAATGAGTTCAAGTAAGTTTGCTGATGTCCCAGCCTAGCCTCTGTTAATTTCCGTTGCATTCAAAACCCCAGGAAAACATCCCAGTTTGCCAAAAGGGAAGAGGGCAAAGTGTGGAGGAGAAAATGCCAAGCGCTGGGTGGGTTTGAAAGACAATGAAGAGCATGAATGGGTATCAGCTGGGGATGCCCTCCCCCTCACTCCCTTGCAAACCCTGTGCTTTCCTTAGCCTCAGGAAACACAACGCCCCATTTGGAGGGTTGTTCAAGAGCTCTGGGCCCTAATTGCAGGCACCCGCTCAGTTCTGAGGGGAACAAGGGACATTCATTAAGTGCAGGAAGCATCGGAAATGGAAAGAGAGGCTTACTTTCTCCAAAAAGCCCTTGTGTCCTTTTAACTGCAGCCAAATCTGCACACAACAGAACACTTCCAGGCTACAGTCACTGCTTCTCACAATGCTTTTTCCAGGCACTGGAATATATTCCCCCAAGCCTCCTCCAAATTCAAAGATGTATGAAAATTTCAGAGGTAGGCGTGCACCTGCTAAAGGCCCTACTTGCCAAGAGCCCCCTGGAGTTGCCCCTCATCTTCATCACTGCAACTACCTTATTCATCTACCTCTTGCTCCGACCCAGGTGAGGAGGTGGTGGTGATGCCACCTCTTAGCTCCTCCCTAATTCTTGGCCTGCCAAACAAGTAAGCAAGTATGAGAAAGAGGAGTAGCAGCAAGAGCACCTGGCCACCAAGGCAGTAAGTCTCACTGGGGTTCTAGATCCATGTTTATCTTGCAGAGCTTTGGTCCAGAACCACGTAGGGGGAAAGCAGCATGCCAGAGGGACAGTGGTGAGAAGCACTTTTCTCCTGCCTCTTCCCTGCACCCTTCTCAAGGATGGTGCTTTGCTCAGGGTGGAGAAAGAGCTGGTAGGCTAATGCCACATAGGGATGGCTGCAGTGAGAGGTGCAGCCTGGCTCTAGAGGGAAATGCAGATGGTGTGTTTGCACAACACGCCAGGCCATTCTGCAAATAAACCATGGTGGGGCCATTGTTTGTGAGATGGTGCACTGACAGATGGTTAGGATCCCTGGGGGCTGTTCCTCCACTCCTTCCCCTTTGGTCCTCCCGCTGATTACATTCCTACAGTACTTGCCATCCCCTTTTTGGTGCACCTATTTTCCCCCTCTTTACTTCAGTTGATAGCTCATCAACAGTGCAACATGTAGCCTATATCCAGTCACCCCTTGCTAATTTCCATCTGTGCTACCAAATGCAATTTGTTCCCTTTTTATAATTACAAGGATCAGATCAGTCTTGCCCAGGCAAGAATATACAAATCAGACAGCCATGAATTTGCACTTGTGTACTTTAAAAGACTGAACAAAATAAAATAATTTAAAGGGCATTTCTGGGGCTTTTTCTTTAAGCTGGCAGGCCTACTTTCTTTTGATGATTGCTTCAAAATGCAGTGTGGGAACTGACAGAAGGGCTGCACTGCTGGCAAATCAGGCAAGATTGTGCAGGGCAGCAAGATTTTTGTTTTTTTGTTTTGTTTTGTTTATGCTCATCTTGCCAGACAGCTCATGAGCTACTCCCCACAATCTGGCACAGGGCTAGTCTCCTGGATTCTTACAACAGGTCAACCCACCATGAATCAAATAATCCCTAGAACAAGCCATGGGTTGACAGGGTAGTTTGTTGCCCCAAATGAACTACACTGCAGGAAATGGTCTGGTTTCACATGACATGACAACCCACCATCTGTCATTAAAACCCAGCCATAACACAGGATAATGTTTGCAAGAGCTGAGCCACTGCTAGCTCACACTAGAATATCTTCCAAATACCCAGTCGCTTGTAGAGTCGCAAGTTGTACCTGTACAAAAGCAGCCAGCTGCAAATCAGTTATGATTAGAGAATGTGCAAATGAGGAAGACTTACTAT